TGGTTTACACAAAAATTATATTATAATTATATGAAGGTAAAGTTTAAGGTCATAAAACTTATACAACAATGAAAAATTTCTATGAAAACAGAAAAACAACTAAATAATATTGATATATAAAATTATTGCACATATATACATACTATACATATTCATTATATCCATTTAATTTTGATAAATTAAATAAAATATACAAGAAGGATTTAAGTGTCCTTTTAATATTTTCTTTCTATATTTGTTATTTTAATTTCTATTATTTTCTTTTTTTTTTTTTGTAATTTCAAATGCCATCCCTTCATGCAATTTATATATTGCTCTATATTTAGTTATGAAAACAATGCGGTAATAATATTTGAAAATGGGGAGTGAATCATTATTAAAGTAATATTATATATATAGAATTTTAAGTTTGGGGTTTGGGATTTAGAGTTTGAGAAGGGGAAAAAAAAATAAATGTTTTACACGCTGTTAGAAAATGTTTGATATCACCTTGGAATACATAAGAAATTAAATTATAAATATACTAAAGAATTTTATTGAATTTTTGTTTTTTTTTTTTTTGTAAAAATGACACTGCTATATTATTTGTTTTGTTATTTTTTCAATTGTAATGCAGAATAATAATTTTACGATATTTTTATCATATTTATTATTGTATGTAATGTTACGTATCCAAATACAAGTGTTTTATTACATTACAAAATGAAAATGTTGTGTAACATATTGTAAAAAAATTGTGGTTTGTATATTCAAATATAGTTTTATTTGTGTGTATAGATTTCGTCTATTTTTTAAGTAATTATTAAAATTCTAAATTGTTTTCTAAAGACAGGCTTTATTTCATAAGGCAGGGTTTATTAATTATACAAGATATGTAAAGCTTTCAGTACCTCGACTTCATGGCTAATTTAGAAAAATTTATTGATATAAAAATTTTTTTAAAATAGGTTTTTTGTAAAATTTCGGCAAAATTTAAAAAAACTGGAACAAGAATAAAATAGGTAGCAGGGTGATTTTCAAGAAAAATAACAAAATTATTGACATTTTGGAAATGTGTCAATTCTATTTCTTAGACGTCTGTCACTGTGGTAGTACAGGTAAACTTATGTCTTTGATAAAACTTATCTACGACATAAGTTTACCTACGACATAGTACATTATTGTGAAATTCAAGTACTATAATTTTATAACGTTATTGGTATATACGCATCGACAGATATAATTTAAATTATTTTCCAAAATGGGATCAAATTTTTACGTGTAATCAAATAAACTGACAAATATTTGACAATCACTAATAAAAAATATTATAAAAATTACAAGTTTATTATTGATTTTATTGTGAATTAAATATTTTATTTGGTTTCCTTCTTACTGTTATATAAAATATAAGACATAGCAAAAAACTATAAACTTTATTATTTTTAACGTTTAATTTAATTGCTTACCGTAAATAATCAGTATAATATAAAAGAAGATTAACTTTAATAATAAAAGAAAAACCTTATAAAAAAACGTTAATTAATGTAAAAAAAAAAGAAATTATCGTAAGTATGAGAAACGAGTAATGAATTGATGAAATGGCCTTGAATAAGGTTGAAATTAGATTATAAAAAATTTACGCTAAATTATTGGTCTTTGTATAAGTTGCTTAGAATTAAATTTCAAAATTTACTATTTTCTTTATTACAAAAGAAATTTCGTGCAAATGTTTTTTTTTAATTTGATTTTTTACTTTCTTTTGTACTTCTAATTTTATTATGTATTAGCTACTCAGTAATTTCTAATGTAGTTTGTGTAATAAAAACAAGAAATAGAAAAATTTTTAGATGACTATCGTAATTGTCATTTTAAGTTGTAAAAAAAACTTTATTTCTAAAATTCTTATTGTATTTTTACTGTATAAAATTTAATATTTTAAATGTGAATTGTGAAAAATTAATCCGATACACAAGGCAAACTACTTAACATAAAAGTGGTTTAAGTATATAACTTGCAATCAGAGTTTCAATTGTGACCTATGTCCTATGATACAATTACGAGGTATAAAAATTACTGTGACTAATGTGACGCACCAATATTTGTTTTTCCATCTGCAAGTAATTAATTAATAAGGTTAACAATTTTAATTAACCCCTAGAAATATGCAATTTTACATTTTACTTAAAATTTCGACTTTATTATTCTGTTTATTGTTCAGTTTTTTTTTTAAATTTAATATCTTTTTGATTTTAAAGCAAATAATATAATTTAAGAAATTAAATGAAAATAAAAAAAAACAAGAATTAAATAAAAAATAAAAATATATTTTTTTTTAAGTAAACAATAAATAATTGCCATTCCACTTAACAAAATATCAAAAATACAAAAACAAAATTAATTTATTGTTTTTAATAAAATGATGGCAAATATTTATGAATTTAAAATACAAAAAAATATAAAAATATAAAAATTCATACAATACGCATTTTATAATAATTCATGTTTTGCGAGTATTTATTAAAAAATTTCAAGTTTTTTTTTATATTTTTTATAATTTCTTATATAAGAAGAGGACAAAAAACTTTACTAAACAGGGAAACAGAAAAGCAGAAAAAAAAAAATTAAATATTTTTATTTAAAATGAAATGAGAAGGAGCAAAGAAAAAACCCCAGAAACAAAATATGCAAACCATGAACCAAATTCTTAAAATTCCTATGTCTATTTTTTTTTTCACTAATTTTTGTTATTTTTCTTATATTTCATGACTTTTTTTTTTTCAATTTGACTAAAAAATATGTGTTTTTTTTTTAATTTTAATATATTAAATTCCATAACCTAATTTTTTTCATAATGTTATTTTTATGTTTTCCATTCTAAAACTGCGTGATTTAATAATAATTTTATTAAATAATTTGCTATATTTTTTTTTCTTTTAATCTTTATCATAAAAAACGCACCCAATAATTTTCCATATTCCCTTATACATAAACTTAATCTCATAACATTTTTCAAAATGTTAAAATATCACGCACGCACATTATTTAAAAATTTATTATAAGACTCTTAAATCTAAAAAAAAAAAAAAAGAGTGCCAGAGAGTGAGAGAGAGAGAGACAAGATTTAAGGAAAAAAAAATAATGAAAATAAGTTGCGGTCACTAACATGGGAAATAAACAAAAATAAAAAAAACAGAATGTGAGTTGACATTTTCCATACAACACTGACAATAGCAACAACAAAAAGAGAAAATTTATGTATGTATATATAAGAAAAAGAATCGCTAATATCAAATCAAATGATCTTCTTATAAACAAAATGAATTAAAATTTTCACGTTACAGGAGAGAATTAAAAATTTCAAATTAGAAAAAATTTTTTTTTTTTTTGAAAAAAATTTGTTTTTTTATTTTTTTTTTTCTTGTGTATAAATAAAATAAAAAATTCTTTTTTTTTTTTTATAAAATTTTGCAAATTATTTCATTAATTTTATAAAAAAACACTCTCATGAAAATAAAAAACAAAATTTTATTCTCTTGCTCTTTTTTTTTTGTTTGTTTTTTTTTTTAAAGTAAAAAAATGTGACAAAGAAGAAATTTTTTTTTATTAAATTAAAATTAATTTTAAAAAAATGATTAAGAATTTTTTTTCGTTTTTAAATATTTACGCGCACTAATCTTAAAAAAAATTATTTAAATGAGTAATTATGTTATAAAATTTTTTTTTAATTATTTTTTTGAAATGCGACTTGAAGGCGCTTAAATTTTGATGATTAATTTTATCATAATTGTTATATAAGAAAATTATTCTTACTAATTTATTTTAATACATGTGATGAGGCCTTAGAGATTTCTCTTATTGAAAAGAATCTTATATATAACAAATATTATAATAATTATATTAAGGGTTTTGTTACTTCATTTCTAGAATAGCTTGATAATTTGTCATTATGACTGAAATTTTTGCGTACTGTTTATTGTTGTGGCTTAGGAATTTAATTTCTAACGTAGAACTTTTAGCGCACCGAAAAACCCTTTAAATATATAATTAATTTTTCTTAAATAATTAATAATATTTATAATTAATGCGTATAAAGAAAATATGCTTTTGACTCCAAGTTTTCGAAACTAAACCTTGTTACATATAAAATTTCATTTATTAAATTAAAATTTTAAATTTGATTCCATAAATACATATTTTAATTTTTTATATCTATATGATTTTATTGTAAATAACTAATATTTTCTTTATATAGTTTTTTACACAGAGAAAAATGTTTAGAAGAAAGTTCGATATAAATTAAATTCATTTGAAATTAAATATTTTTTTTTTAATTTAATTAATATATCGAGTTGAATTAATGATACTGTAGAATTTAATAATATTCTTAGAAATTTAATAATATTGTTAAAGTACATTTAGTTAAAGTATTCCTCATAAAATAAGTAAAGCTATAAATCTTATTGATTTTATAATCGCATATTAGAAGAAAAAATAATTTAATTTAATCTCAATTATTTCAATTTAATTTCAACTATAAATATAAAAAATATTATTACAGTAAATTAAATAATAAATTCCCCTATATTAAGTAGATATTAATTAAATTTTTAATGTATGAGCATAAATTATTAAAAGTTTCTTTTACAATATTACCATAGAATTCAAGGAGTTGTTGAGGTGTCATTAAATTTAGAAAAAAAAAATGCAATTTTCCATTATTCAAATTAAATTATTTTACGCAAAGTAAATTCATAGAGGAGATCATACATATTTGAATATTGAGGTTCAATTTTGCACAGAAAAAAATTCTTTATACGTTTTTCATATGCCCTGTATAAATTAAAAAAATTATTCGTTGTCAATTGTTGGTTTATGCTAGTTAAGTTATATACAAATTATTTGTAAGGTTAAGAATTTATACTAGTAAATTTATAAATTTAAATTTTCCGATGTAAGTTTGGGAGTAAAATAGTTTTATTGAAATAATTGAAAATAATGACTGAATTTTCTTTATTTACCTTTCATCGGATAAATTTTCTCGATTTTCACATGCTTTTAGAATATCTTGAATTTCTGTTGATTTACTGGTTGTTGTATCAATTTCAGTGATAACAGTTTCAGCTTTACGAGCTGATGGTGTTGAAGATGATAAAGGATTAGCAGTAATTGTTATTACCTTCATTTTGTTTATTATTATTTTTACTTTTATTATTATGTAAGTTCCACCGGTGTATTTTTTTTTTTGTAATATTTTGTTTTTGATTCAAATAATTGATTTATTTTATTTTGTGTTTTTAATAAATTTTATAAGAAATTGTTGAATAAAATTGAAAAATATTTCACAAAAATTTTTCTTTATTTGACAGTAACTTTTTTTTTTACTTTCTGATCGATTTTTTTTTTTTTTGTAGAATTCAAAAAATAAATTTAATTTTTGTTTTTTCTTTAAATTTTTATGAGATTTTTAAAATTTAATTTATAACTTTGAGTTTTTCTTGGTTTGCTACCGTTCTTTACGAAGTCTTCTTATTGACTGATTATAACCACTTTTTATTTCTTTTTCATTTAATTTTTACGAAAAAAAAAGAGAGCAGTATGTAGTAGTACCGACTATTATAAGGTATGAATTTCTGTTATTTTTTTTTATTTTCTGCGAGCGTTTAATATTTTATTCAGTTTGTTATTATTTTTTTATATTTTGTTCTTTTCAAGTTTATTTTCAAAAGCGTTCTGTTTGAAATTCTCAATTTTGCTAAGATTTATATACTCGCGTGAATATCACGATATTTACGCTCAAAAACAATATTTTTATTATGTTTTTTGCACAATATCTTTTAGTACTTTTTGTTCTTTTAATGTTTATTCTATATGCATACATAATGTATGTATATATAAATGAGCTTGAGCATATAAATTATGTGAATGTGTAGGGCATGGTATACAAAAATTTATAATATATGTGTGTTTGTTAAATGAACATAAAAATAGTATGGTATTCGGAAAATGTTTTTCTTTTCTTAATTTTTTATTTTATTTTACCTGTTATTCGGTCTATTTGTTATTTTTGTTTTTCTTTTGCTTCTTTCGAATAATGAATGTTAAAAATTGCGATTTTGGGAATGGAAAGAGAAAATAAAATTTTTTATTGTATTTTATTCTATTTTTTTTTGTACTAAAATTATGTTTGTTATCTTTGCTCGCTCAGTAAAATAATATAAGAAAAAAAGAAAATGTTTTAAAAATAGGTGGTAAGTCATAAGTCCACCAAATTGTTTTTTATGATTTTCAAATAGCGGGTCAAAAACCCTGGGGAGATATACCTGGTATATAATAACTATTATATATATGGTTTATGAGAATGATAATATAAGGAATTTTGAAATTCAAATATGGAAATTTTGTGTAAACAGTCAAATTGTCAGGTAATGTTGTTGAACTATTATAACGATGAAATTGAACTTCACAGTATTGGCTACAGTCGATGTATTGACTATGAAGTTCAATTTTATATTGCTAATAGAAAAAAATTGTATAATAAGAAAAAAAAATTTTTCTTAAGTCAATTTTTTACGTTAAAATTTTGTTGTGGATATTTTCGATAAACAAGTATACATATATAGAAAAATTATTGACATTCAAAAAAATTTTTTTTTTTTGTTAATATTTTTAGAATCAAAATTTTTCAAGGCGAATTCTTTTAATACAATATACATTTAACGAATATTATCGAAATTTACCGAAATTGGACATACAAAATATGGGATTTATGGCATATTGTCACATACTTTTGATAATTTTTAAATTATTTTGAATAATTAAGAATTTATTATAAAAAATAAAACAATAGAAATTTGTAGATTTTTTATAAAAAATTTTTATTTTCATGTAAATTTGTAATAAAACAAATTTTTTATAGGTTTTCGGAAAAAATTGTCTTTTACTTTGACATTGAGAGTATTTTTTTAAGTTACTATTGTAGATTATCTGCGAAAAAGTAATTAAAATTAAAATGAAAAAGTGAAATTATAATTCAAAAAAATATTTATTTTGAAATTTCGTTGACTTATTAATGAATTTATCGTTTATTTTATTTAAAACAGTTGAATGCATTTAATTGAAACAGAATTAAGTAGCGTCATTTTAAAACACAAGCTCATTTTAAAAATTTCAATTAAAAGTATTCTTTAAAATATGTATGTACATCAAAATAGATAATATGTATGTGTGAGTGAAGCATTAATATGTGAACATTTCCGGTGTACAAGAACTTTAAAAACTTATAATAGAGCTTTTCGCTTTGATAATATTATTTCATACATAAGAAATTTTTAATTTCAAAATAAAATTTTATTTTACAGAATTTTTCATTTAAATGTAAAAGCTCTTTTTAAAAGTTCTTTTTTGGTTATGTAAAGCAACATGTTATCTGTTATTGTTTACTATTTATTTGACTATGTAATAATTCGAGTGGATATGTAAGATAGATAAATTCATATGTGTGGGAAATAAATGTTAATATTTTGCTTTTTAAGAAATTTCCGAAGAGGATTTTTTGATTGCTTTTGAAAATCAATGAAATTTATTTTCTTTCTTTTTGAAGGGACGGCAAGGGAATAAAAAATTTCGGTTCACTTAATTGTTAAAACATTGAAATGATTTGTTACTCGCCGTATTTATTGGCCTGTTTACACGTGTGTGCGTTTAAACTGTTCATCTTTAATGCTTCTGACATCTTCCTAGTAAGCTTAAAGTAAAATGATGTGCTATACGCTCAGCGCATACACATGTGACTAAGTCCAGTAAAATTTTTAAAATGTCATTTTGTTCAATAACATAACCAACTTGAAATAAGAATTTTTTTAAAATTTTCATTAATCAAAACAGAAGAAAATTTGTGATTGAAAAAAATATTTTTTGATTTTGAAAAGGTGTTGACAAATATTATTAAAAAATTTTTTTTAAAGGTAGAAAAATAATTTTAAATATTTTTTGAATACTTAAATACAGGTGTACATGTATGCGAAAAATTTAGAATATTAATGGTAAAAATAATGAAATTAAGGTTACGGGCTGACAATTTGTAAAATATTCAAATTATATTGTTGATAAGAAAATTTTTAGAACTATTTTTTAGCTGTCATTATTCTTTCATCCCTGTCATTTTTTTTTATTAATAGTTTTTTTTTTTTGGAATACAATATGTTTTCATTTTTGTGTTATTGCACAAATTTGAAACATATTGCTATATAGTCAACAGATTTGATTTTCTTTAAATTTCTATTAAAAATCATAGTTGAACATAATTTATTCTCTTAAACACTCTATAGTTAATTACTTCATATAAGATGTTTTGTTTATTAACCCTTTCATATCTTTAAATTATTACAGATATTCAATGTCAAGATTGTCTTAAATTTGCCAAATTTGACAATTACCTTGGAAAGTACTTCAATTATATTTGCTACGCTTACTTTCTTTTGCTGGATTATGGAGTTAATTTCTAAAAGTAAAAGCGTTTATTTGTAAAAATTGTGTCTAATTCATGCTCATAAACAAATGTTGCTAATACAGTTTGTTTATAAACATTGTTAAATTATCATAATATACTGAAATTGCTATGAGTAGCGCATGTAAATCATTATGAACTGTTTTGCTTTTATATAGAATTGTTAAAAATATATTAAATATATTGCATGTCCATAACATTATGCTTTTGCAATATTTCGTTTTATAATTATTGCTTTATGTTTATGAAAACTTCTGTTTTTTTCCCAGTTAATTTAATAATTTTATTTTAGTATTTCTTAAAAGCTGAAAGCTACTAGCATTTATCAATAATAATTTTTCGTCTAATGTTCAACATTGAAAGGGTTAATGTTGAATGAAAGGGTTAATGTTGAAATAAAATTGAAATTGATGCAGATGATACTTATTTCTTGCATTACTGTTTCTTAAATCATGATACATTTTTCTTAAATAGAATTGTTTTACATATGGTATTCTTTTTGCCAATCTTTATGATATTTAATATAGGCACGAAGGAGTTAATTCTTGCACATTATTGCTTCAAAAACATGCATTTTTTAAATTTTTTTTTTGAAAATATAATTAAATTTCACTGTATTCTATACGTCATGTACGTCAATAATCTTAATAAAATGTCATGTTTTACACAAATTTTTTTTTTTCAATATTTTAAATGTAATATTCACATTAAAGCAATAATAATTATTTTTTATGTTTTTACGTAAAAATGTAATGGTAAAACCAAAAAAATTTACAATAAATTTACGCAAAAATAATTTATGTAAATATTATATAGTAAAAAATGTAATTATAAATGTATTTTATTGCCATGTTGTTGACTCATTCAAGGATTTTCATTAATTATTCAGAATTTGTGAAAATTTGAAAAGAAAAAGAAAAATATAAAATTCGAATAATTTTTACTTTCATTGACGAATTCTTTAAATATTTCTTAAAAGCTCTATATAAAAAATTTTTCTTCATATATTCGATTCGCTAGGTGTATATATGGAAAATTTTCACAAAAAAAGAAAGATAAAGAAAAGAAAAAATGAAAGGAAAATACATTTTTATCCGCTTGATAACAAAAATAGAATTTTCATTTTTATTATAGTTTTAATTTAGAAATTTTATACTCGTATTTGTTTTTCAAGAATAGACCATATTTTTTTAAAAGACAAAAAACTCAACAGGGGTCAAGGTAATCTCATTTTCTAATAAATAAATTTTTTTTTTTTTTTTTTGTCTTATAATAATTTCGTATGTACTCATAAGTAGTATGACTAATTAAATTTTTTTTTTTATATTTTTTTAAAAGTATCTCGAATTCATGTAGTATTTTTAATTTTTCATTAGGTTTGCAAGTATAATTTAGTATTATGATAAGATTTGTCTTATATATTTGAGTAGGCAAGTGAAAGTGAATGGATAATTTATTGTAATCACATAAATGATGACCGGATCATATTGCCTGTTTATAGGCGTATTTTAAGATTTCATTCATAATATTGAAATACTTTTCTTTTCTACATACAGAATTTATTGTAATACCGTGAAAAATTTTATTTGCATAAAAAATAAGGATTATTTGGAAATTATAATTTTTCGCCTTTGATTCTGGAAGATCATCCAATTTTGAAACAAAACTAAAAAATACTTAATTTTTACAGCAACAACATTATTCAAAAATTCAAAATTATAACAAAAATTCAAAAATTTACCTCACGTCTATAGTTGTCCATTGTAAATATGTCAATAATAATTAAGGAAGCTATAAGTCTTATTCTCTTTTCTAAAACATTTTTGGCTCGGTTGAGTATAAATCTATTTTATTCGAAATTGTATGATTTCGATCATTTGTTACCAACATATTGCACAAATTTTCAATCACGATAAGGTCTGGAGGCTATATTGAATTTGAATTACTTGAAGAGAATTATGTACAAGCTATAGTCGAATATTTTAGGAAAAATAGTTAAGATTGTTATCTGGATTTTATTGGTAACTGGATTTCACTTTTTTCACATAAATTATGAAGTTGACTTTAATGATAATCGCTTTGGTGATTAACACAGTCTATTCACAATATTTGCTTAAATAAATGCGTTAACAATAGGTTTATTTAAAATTTGCATAATTTTTTACATAACTCATATAACGATCTATTTACATTTTTATCTTCGATTTATTCTTCATGGTAGTACGATCAACTATATTAATATTTTAT